TTGCTTCTTCATGCTTGGATGTTCAGTCTGTGGTCATAAATGAATGAATGTAGTGAAATATAATAACTCTATAATATCTCTGGGCCTTTGAAGGACTTTAAAGTCCAGGGATTACCCGACCTTTCCACCAATGAGCAACAGGACTAGCCGACCCCGCTGTGACCCCTACGGGAATAAGGGCAGATAGGATAAATTGACATTTTAGTTTGAAATGTAAACCACTAAAAAAAACCATCAGATTTCTGACAAGAAAAAAAAAAATAAATAAATAATCAGTAATAATTTCAATCATTTTAACAAATAAAAACAAAAAGTATATTATATATAGGTCTTTGGAGGTGACATTTCAGATATTATTTCTCATTAACAGAAGAAGTTTAATTTAAATGAGAAATATCTGGCATCTCTACAGACAAATATCTCTTTCTGTTTATCCTCCATTGTCAGAGCCGGTCCCCGCCGGACGCTCGCCCCTTTAGACCAAGGCAGGGAGAACAGGCCTGGCTTTCACTCTTCCTGGGTGCATGTGAGGCCCAGCCGAGGCTCGGCCGACTGAGGAGTGGCAGCCGGCCGGCCCGGCTTGCCGGGAGGACCACATGCCTCTCTCCACCCCTGCAGGATGTGTAGGTGGTGGGCCTGCCTCGCCCAGAATAGGCCGGTGGAGCCAGGCAGGCGTCGGCTCCAATAATGACACAGACAGAAGCTGCCCGAGACAAAACCGACAGAAATAAACCTCTACAGCCGATAAATTCTTCCATCCAGAACATTTTTACACAGCTTACAATTAGCCACAGCTGCACTGGACATCAACGCGAGGCGATTAAAACTTATTTCCACACGTAGGTTTAATCAAATGTAAAGCCTGGACGCCTCTTTTATTCCAGTTTGTTGTGACTCAGCACTGACTCTCTTATGAGGACCTGTACGGACGTCTGCCAGCAGATCAGAGCAGCAAAACAAAGACGTGAGGAGGAAAAAAACCCTCTGTGGGAGAGTTAAGTCATGCCACGGAGCGAGTTCCTTATCTGCAGCACGAACATAAAAGCTCCTGGAAAACCTAAAGCAAACAAACATGTGCAGACTGATGGAAGGGAGGGAGGCTGCTTCACCGGAGTCCAGCTTTTAATTAGCATATAGGGACGGATGGAAACGCAGAGGTGCTGTAAAGCAGGAGGGTTAATCGATTGATTCATCGGTTTGATATTTAAAAGGTTAAAGAGAAAGAAGTTTGGATCAAATATGAAAAACATTTGAGATCTTTAAACTAACTTTACTTACAGAGAAGAAATAAACCCTGAATCTGCTTCAACCAAACGGTTCCTGGAGTCTAGAGGAGGAGAACCAAACAGAACCAGAACTAAAGCTTCCCAAAGGCTTTCTAGAACTTTACTGCACTGTTAAAAAAGAAAGTAAAATCCCTCATTTAGTTCTAGTTTGTAATGATTTGCTCTTAATAACCTTCTAAAATGTAAATAATATAAACCCACATGAATAAAAACGATCAGAGTTCACCTACTGTTTACTGCATTTTTTAAAATTATGTTTAAACAAACACACCCTCTAAGATCCCTACAGTTTTAATTTATTTGCTGAGTCAGTTTTTAATAAAACAGAAAAAACTACCCCTCCTAAAAAAGCATTTTTAATAAAGATTATTCATTTTTTAAACAATATTTTTATTAGAAAAAATTATATGATTCAGTCAAATCATGAGTTCATGAAAAATTAAAGTGCATTATCTAAAATTCTTAAAGTAAAAAAATAAAAGAATAAATTAGAATGAAAAAAAAATAATAAAAATCTTTATTTGTCTAACTTAAATTTACAAAACCACAAATGGAATTATTATGGGTTTATAATCCAGATAATGATTAATAATTGTCTGCTCTTTCACTCATATAGCAAATAAAAAGGGCTGCAACTATTATTTTTCTAATTGATTAATCTGACAATTATTTTTTTGATCGTTCGATTAATAATAATAAAAGGTTCCTTAAAGAAGATTTTTAACAGAATTAAGACTAAAACTCCTGACTTAATGAGTTCTGGATTATAGAGCATATTGACAGACAAAACCTTTTTTTTTTTAACTTAAATGCAAAATATATATATATATTTCTTAATTTTGGTATAACTACAACTCTAAGTGGATTTTTATGTCGGCTAAAGGCATGTTTTAAGATCACGTTTACTCAATTACTTAATTATCTGAAGATTATTTCAATAATCCACACTGCAAAAATGACCTGAATTTACCTGGATTTACCCTTAATTTGAGCAGGTAAATAAGATATTTTGCCAATGGAATGAGTATTTTTACACTTAAAATAAGATAATTAGATAATATGCACTTGAAATAAGAAAATGCATAATTTTTTTCTTATTTCAAATATAAACTGTCTTGTTCGATTGGCAAAGTGTCTCACTTACCTCCTCAATTCAAGAAAAAAAGCACTTTTTGCAGTGCATTAATCACGATTTGTTAGATTAATTGATTCGGCCCTAAAAATAAACTTAATGCTTCCTTTGAGGTGGCCCCCCTTCAGCCCCCTCTTTGCAGCACCCCTGGTCTCCACTGCTTTCCTCAGATTTCCGCTTTTCATGATGCTGCACACATTTGGAGGAGTTTAGATCTGCAGAGCAGCCAGAGGAGAGTCTGCAGAGCACAGAAGGATGAGTTCTGTTCATAAAAACATGGATTTTGCAAATATTTGTGTTTTTGGTGAAGATATCCGTCTAGAAATCTGTATTAGAGTTACATGGAAAGATGTGCAGGTCAGCCATGGACGATGGTGCTCATCAAGAGTCACAGTTTCACAGCTTTCCTTCTAAAACTTCCCAGAAACAGCTCATTTTCTCCAAAACAATCACCTTTTTATCGATTTGTTTAGCAGCTCTAAATCTCCTTGCCGACTCCCTCGTGAATCACCAGTTATTCCATCAGTGGTAAAAAAAATAACTTCCACGATTATGTTATTGTGGGTTTATAAACCTAAAGAGGACTGATAACTTTCTCCATTAGATCAATCTTAGAAAAAAAAAAAAAGGAAAATAAAGATAAAAGTTGAAGCTTTGAAGCTCGAAATCAAACCAGGATACGCGGGACGTGAGCAGATTTGAAAAAGAAGAGGTGGAAAATAAAGGGAACGTGAAATGTCACTTAAAGAACATTAGCATTGATGATAAAAACATGTGGGCTTGTGGAGCTTCTTAAGGCGCTCTCGTCCTCCTCCGTCGGTTTAGGAGTCACTCACTGCAGATAAACGCCGGTGAGTTTGGACTTAAGGCGATTTATTCCACAGATGTTAGCAGCTCATTTGGCACCTTTTGCTATTGTTGCACGGATCATTGTAGACTCCTTAATAGTGAGGAGGGGGTGATTTCACACAACCTTCAAATGTTCACTCCTTAGTGACAAATTGTCTGCAAAAAATTGCCTA